AAAAAAAGAAGAGTCATAAAAAGAAAGTGAAAAATTGAAAAAGCAGTTTTTTTTAAAAATTGCAATGCAAATTTTTTTTCACATTATTTAAACTAACAATTATTTAAAAAATGCTAGTTTAAAGTTTATTTCATGTATTCTACCCATTTATTAAAGCTTATTTATTGTGCTTTATTTTGATATTTATTGTAGCTTTAAAACTGCAAGATTTTAGTGGTATAAAGCTACACTCTTTATCAATTGCAAATATTAAAAAAAAAATAATTATCAATAATAGAAGGTAATAAAAAAAAAATATAATAAAATTTTTATAAATAATAAAATACCTAAAAATAGAAAATTGCAAAATTTTGTCAAATTAAATAACCTTTATTAATAATTATTTCTTTAAATCTAAAAGCTCTCAATAATATATATATAATTTCATAATCTAGTGATAAAATCCTAGAACATACCATAATGTTTAAAAACGAATAAAATAACTTCACAAACACAAAATAAATCATTTTTAAGATATGATGCAATAATTTCAATAAATTTAAACTATTTTTGGGAAAATTTCCTTTCAAAACACACATTTTTGTTGGTTAATGCTTTTGCTTTTTCTATAAAAAGAGCAGACAAAGTGTCAGTTCCTAAATTAGGCTGGAAATCATTGTGGTTTTTTCGTACAATGCTAAATACGCTTTCTGTGTAGGCATTGCTGTGAGGTATCAGAAGTACTAGAAGCATCAACTTTGGCAAAACAGTAAACCGTAGAACATACGGTGAAGAACAAGTGTACTTCCTACACTTTCGATTTTATAAAACACAGCTATTCTACACTATACTCATCACGATAATGCTGTGTAACTTTTGCTTTTTTTGTTTGACGTTCCATTGTATTGAGCGTTTGTTTATTTACATATACAGGCTTTTTTGCTTATTAAAAAATGGAATAAAAAAAATAATAAAAAAAACATTGATTTTTTAGGCTAACAGAAAGTACCGCTTATTTCAGTGCTGTTGACATGATGGATCGGAAGCACGATGTCGATGCTTGAATAGAGCAACAAGCTACATGAACATATACATTTTACATATACAAGTGTTTGTATAAAATGCTTACATTCATATTGCACAAGTCTATATTTTTTGCACATGCATATGTAATTATTACATGTATAAAAATATACATTTCCTGCATACGAAATAAGTGTATGCAACTAGAATGAATATCTGTACATATGCATTCATCTATATATGCATTAGATAAATGCATATACATTTTAGTTCATACACACACACAAAATGTCAATACGTACAATTATAATCTCTACTGCAAAATATAATAATTTATAAGTATACAATAGTCTTGTAATCATATATTTAGATTAATTGTAATTATAATCAAGATTACATGTAATCATATTTTTTGATTACTTGTAATCATGATTACAGTAATTGGTTATGTAACCTCGATTTCAGTTGTAATGAAAATATGTCTGATGAATTTAAAAATTATGATTATTTGTAATCGCAATTAGGATAACAAGCAATTGATTATATAGCAGTAATTATCTGCAATCAATTATAGTTGTAATCGAAGCCCAACTCTAACATTAGCCCATAAGTTAGACAACAAATAAAATTAATATTTTTGTAAAAAGTATATGAAAAAAATATGTTTAATATATTAGCATAAATTTATCAAACTCTAAACTCAGTGGCGCGACAGCCCATAGAGGGCTAAGGTCTACTGTGCCCATCTCAGTTTTCTTGACCTTGAGTTCTGGGGTGCAGGAGCAGATGTTCAGTTAGGTGGTCAGACGAACGTGAAACCCCCCATGTTTAGTTCCCAAGCATGCTCGGTACTCATTTATTGACCCACTGAAGGGATGAAAGGCTGAGTCAACCTTGCCCGGCTCGAGGATCAAACCCAGGAACTGTGACACGGGAGCGCGAAACACTACCACTAAACCACTGAGGGTCATAAATTTATCACAACCAAAATTTTTTTTTATATCAAAGATATGGTAATCATTCTTTTCTTTTTATATATTCTGAATGAAATTTAGAATTCTATTTCAATTAAGAATAAGGCAAAAAACACCACGAAAACTTTCACAATGCTGTTTTTTGTGCTAATCAAATGTTTCACAGTAATTGGACTTACAGCATATTTTTGATAAAAAATAAAAAAATTATTAATTGCTAAGTTACACAACTATTACAGAATAGAAACGTAAATATTTTTGAATATAAAACATGACTTTAGAACACTAAAAGTTAAATTTTGTTTGTCAATTAAGTTGAATTTTGTACATAATGTGAAAAATTACTTAGATTACTCACAAAAGGTTAATAAATTTATGTAATATATCAATGTAAAATAAATTAATTTAAAAATATTAGAGAAACTTAGAAGCAATAAAAATTAAATTTTGTACACAACATGAAAAACTACTTATATTACTCGTAATAAGTTAAAAGCAAAATAAATTTATTTGAAAACATGCAACAAAAAAGTGATTTTACTTATTACTAATTGATTACTACAGTAAAAAACAATTATTTTAAATATAAAACGAAAAAATTTTGCCGTAAAATTTTGAAAAACATCTAAACACATGCTTATAAATTTTTTTAAGGAAAGTATATTCTGCAATGTTTTTTCTTTCAAAATAAAAAATTCATAATTTAAATAAATGAATAAAATGATTGATTGTTAAAATGTTAGCAGAATGAGTAAAATATATTGATTGCATTTTATCAAATAAATCATTTTCTATCTGCATATAAGTTTTCAAAATTATTTCAATTCTTATGCTTAATTGTAAAATATGAAGTAGCAAGAGAAAAAGCAACAAAATTATCAAGTTTAAGTAAATTTTTTAGTATTGCTCCTAATTTTTTGGATAATTTTTAATTTTAATTTTTATGTTTAAAATGGTATTTTATATAATTTAACCTAAATGTGAATTGGTATTCCAATTTTCATTTTTTAATTAATTTAAGTATTTTGTCACAAAATCAAACTTGTCTATTTAAAAAAAAAAACTGGATCTTTACCACATAATTTTTGAAAAAAAAAATTTCTTTCACACTTTGAAAATAATGATTTCAAAATTATGCTTTGGTTTAAAAAAAAATCATGTTTAATGGTTTGAAGTTTATACACATCAAAAAGAAAAGAATCAGAGGGAAAAACTTTAAAATTCTTTATTTATTTACATAAAAATTAATAATTAGATCCTCTAAATAAATTAATAATAAATAAAAAAAACTAATCAAAGCATCCCTTATTACCAATATTAGTGGAGGGAAATGTAATTTTGTTTACCCTTCTAGAACAATAAAAGAATTTCCAAATCTAATTCGAATTATAAAAAATGACCAAATCCTGGCATTCCTGCTCTTTGACATGATAAATTTAAAATTGGCAACCCTTACGTGGAAATATGAGGGTTGTCATATCCTATTTATTACCAAAAGTTATGATGAACCTTAATTGTCTAATTGGAATCAGAAACAATATATTTAAATAGTGAAATATGCAGGCATTAGGCTTAAAACGAATACTATGGTTTGCTTTCAAACAAAAAGGATTTAATAATTTAGAAGTAAGCAAGCCTAACGCTCAGACGATAATCAGTAAATCACTATTTCTTGAATTTCTAAGTCCCATGATATTGAATATCAGCTCTGCCCAACTGAATTACAAATAAAAAAAAATTGGTAGGGTGACCTGGGGTAATTTCTGATAAAAAAATGCAAACATCTATTTTGTAAAAAAACTATTCAAGATAGAATTTTAATATTTACTTGAAGTTTGAGGCTGTATGAGATAAGTCCTATGCTACCTTCTTTAGTTTGAAAATCTAATTAGAATTTAAAACATTTAAAATTTTTAGTGATCAGGAGTTACCCCATCTCTTGATCGTTTCTGGGGTAATTACTGATCACCAGTTTTTATAGTAAAGGGGCAATTTAAAAATAATTATACAATGGTAATTAGCAAATAAGACATCAAGATCAAACAAATAAGCCAAAAATATATGTTTAAGCAGCTAATAAAACAATTTGTAAAAAGCAGGAATAAAGATTAACACTTTAAATTTTCTAAAACTCTTTATATCGTGCCATACATATTAGGCAAGCAGCCAACTCATTCTCATGTTCTGCTGGAATATAAGAAAGAGTTCCCACATGGGTTACTTTTGCTGGATTTTCTAACTTCATTAAGTGAGTGTAAGGTTAAGTAAGGTATGTCAACAGCTCTGGCAGCAGCTCTCACACTGAAATTTTAGTTTTCAATCATTAAAAGAAATCCACTAATTTTGCTTTCTAGAAGCTTATTATCCTTTTTAGGCTTATAATTTCACATCATATTTATATTAGGCTAATTTATAAACATAAAAATTATTCTAACAATGTTATTCTAACAAATTTAGATAGAAGCAAGGTAAGACAAACCAGAAATGGTGCAAATCAGAACACATTTGTCATGTATAAAGTTAAAAACAAATTTTGTGATTAAAGTTAAAATATATTTTATAGTTGTTTCATTTAATAAATATGAATTGTTATTTGATAAAAGACAATTAGCTATTTTTAATACAATTTATAAAAAAAAAAATGACAATGATCAGGAATTACCCCAGTGATCAATAATTACCCCATCTGTAGGGGGGCAACATTTCATATAGTTTCCTATAATCAATTATAATGTTTACAGTAGATGTGAAACAATTAAACAAAAGCTTACACTATTTTCATATCAAAGAAAAAGAAAGTAATGCAAAATATTTATTATTAAGAGAAGGAGGGAGATCATTGCAGAAATGTGCGCATTTTGAAACCCATCTTTGAAATGGAAAATACAGAAAGCAGTTCAAAAGATACTTATTCTGTTAAATTATACAAAAAACTATTATTAAGTAAATGTAGTTATACTTTAGTAAAGTGTACCAGCATTCTTGTCCATGTCTCAAATAAAAAAAAAATTTTTTTTCTTAAAAAAATAAAACTTAGGTGATTATTATTTACCCCAGAAACAGAGTGATCGTGAATTACCCCGGGTCACCCTACCTTAACACAACCAACTTTCAATTTGTACTTAAAAGTAGTTGCCCTGGACAAATTTGCAGACAGTTAAAATATTTTTCTATGAAACTTGTTACATTATGTGAGACATTGGTGAGATTTCTTACTAAAATGAAAATAATTGTGCACAGGTTTATTTATCAGGTTGTACTATCTTTATGAACATAATATTACACTTGTAAACAGATTACACTATCATTTAAACATTATATGAATAAACTTAGTAGTATGAACAGAACAATGAGCATAAAATTCCTTTATAAACTCAAAGAATTAACAACAAGAATTAGGATTCTTACTAGTATGAACACGAAAATGCTTTGTCATATTACTTTTGTGTGAAAATTTCTTATTACATATACTACAAGAATAAGGTTTCTCACCAGTGTGAACACGATTGTGTCTAGTCAGTCGAGCTCTTTGTGAAAAACTTTTGTTACATATATTACAAGTATAAGGCTTCTCACCACTATGAACATAAACGTGTGAAGTCAGACTACCTCTGCTTGAAAAACTTACGTTACATATACTACAAGAATAAAGCTTCTCACCAGTGTGAACACGATTGTGTCTAGTCATGTCACTGCTGTGGGAAAAACTCTTATTGCATATGCTACAAGAATGAGGCTTCACACCAGTATGAACATAACTGTGTTTATTCAGATATCTTTTGTTTGAAAAACTCTTATTACATATACTACAGGAAAAAGGTTTCTCACCAGTGTGAACACGATAGTGTACAGTCAGAATACTTTTTCGTGAAAAACTCTTATTACATATACTACAAGAAAAAGGTTTCTCACCAGTGTGAATAAGATTGTGTCTAGTCAGATGATTACGTTGTGAAAAACTCTTATTACATATACTACAAGAATAAGGTTTCTCACCAGTATGAACATAACTATGATTAGTCAGATTACTTCTGTTTGAAAAACTCTTATTACATATATCACAGGAAAAAAGTTTTTCACCAATGTGAACATGATTGCGCTTAGTCATGTCACTTCTATGGGAAAAATTCTCATTGAATATGCTACGAGAATGAGGCCTCACGCCAATATGAACATGACTGTATTCAGTCACATTACTTCTTTGCGCAAAACTCTTATTAAGTATAATTACAAGAGTCAGGTTATTAACCAGTATCAGTTAGATTACTTTTTTGTGAAAAACTCTTATTACATACATCTTACACTAGAATCCAACATGAATGGTCGTCTAATACTTAGAAATATTAGTCTTTGTTCATTTCATATCACCTTGTGTAAAAATGCGTGCATTTAAATAAAATTGTTGAAACTAATTTAAGTTGAAAATAATGTCACATAAATGTGATAATTACTTAAGCTTTAAATGGTAAATTTATCAGACCAATTACATTAAATTTCAAAAACAAACTAAGAAATATGATTTTGAAACTTATTTAAAATAGTGTGAACAAAAAATTAATCAAATATGCTTCATAAAAATTTAGATATCCTAATCTATACTATTGTTAATTGCTTAGCAGGCTAACAAAATAAAAAATTTTTTATGTTTGTCTAAAAACGAAATTGCTTTGGCAAACCATTATTTTTCTATGACAAACATAGCTCAAATAGCATACTCCCTTTACTTCATGAATAACACAACTTTTCACACAAACATTATGAAGAGATTTCCTGAGACTGTTTTCAATTTTAGACACTTTAACACAAACTGCCGAAATAACTTTAAAACATAAGTTTTAAATGCATAGTCATGAGTACAAGGAAATTCTAAATAATATTTGCAATGACAATGTCTGTCTTTAGATTCATAATGAAGATTCCCTAATGTATGAAGATAATTGTGCCATACAAACAAGATCTGTATCAAGTAAACAGTTTCAAGAAATTAAGCTTTCACATAATTTTAAAACACTTCTTGCCATACAATTCGACAAAACGTGTGTAAGAAGTTTGCAAAAAAACTAAAATCAATGAATATATTTCACAAATATTAAAGCAAGATTAATATGATAAATGATGTACAAATTTAGAGCACATTTCGGAATTATTCCGAATCGGATTTCCTAACTCATCTACTATGCTAGACGAGATTTTTTTTTCAGCTTATAGCTTTTTACATTCATGATTTTCACAGACGTAAGGAACCCGTAAGAGAAAGTGAAGATTCTATTTTTTCGGTGGCAACAAAAAGTGGGTTACCTTCTTCAATCATCGTGGCGACTTTTTCTATCTATAAAATCGCCACATCGCCAGTGTTCGTTAGTGTTGGGGATGGGCAATGACAGGTATTTTCAAGTAACAGGTTCGAGCTTGTTACGATACAAAATAATACCTGTTCCAAATAACAGGTCTAAGGAAAAAAATTTCCACTTTTTTATATTTGAAAGATAGTTTAGAATGGCAAGATAGTTTGAAAGATAGTTAAGAAAGATCGAATATTACAATGTACGTTGTTTCAAAATAAGAAGAATTTAGGAATTCCCTATAACATTCTGTTTGACGATATAACCAGAACCTTTTCATTTCTGCAAGAGGGGAAAGGTGGAACTTCATAAATATTGAGATAAATTAGAAATTAAAAAAAAAATTTATCTCTNATTTACAAGGAATAAATAAATTCCGAGTGAGCACGTGTGCATACGAAATTTGTCGCCAAACTCATACAAACACCAGCCAACAGCCACCATCTCCCTTCCCCTAAACAGTGATGTCATTTTCAACCAATAGCGTGATCCGGCCCAAGTGAGAATTAATCGCTCGTCTTCAATCATCGTGGCGACTTTTTCTATCTATAAAATCGCCACATCGCCAGTGTTCGTTAATGATGGGGATGGGCAATAACAGGTATTTTCAAATAACAGGTTCCAGGTGTTACGATACAAAATAATACCTGTTCCAAATAACAGGTCTAAGGAAAAAAGTTTCCACCTTTTTATATATTTGAAAGATAGTTTAGAATGGCAAGTATTTTTGTAGCAGATACATATTTTTCTATTAATCTGAAAATGTTGTTAGGAAAAGTATTTTTTCTTTCTAAGAGTAAAAAAATATCGCGATAAATTTTTTTTCTGCTTATTTTTTAAACAAAAAGAAAGCAGTTGCATATTAATTTTTGCTTTATTCTCTATTGTTTAGGTTCGGTGAAAAAACTATATTCCGTCCTTTTTTTTATGTATACATATTTTTTTTTTTTTTTTTTGTGATTATACTTTAGATCGGGTAGTTCAAAATGGTTGAAAACTCTTCAAAAGCATATTTGTTAGTGTAATAAAATATAATAAATAATAATAGAAACTTTTTAATGCACTTTCAGGAGAAATGAGTGACGCAGAAAAATTCTCTTACAAAATTTGCTTCTTTTTAACAAGCATAAAATAATTTAGAAGGTTTAGAGAATTAAAAAAGTTTCAATATTACAATGTACGTTGTTTCAAAACAAAAAGAATTTAGTAATTCCCTATTACATTCTGTTTGACGATATAAGCAGAACCTTTTCATTTTTACAAGAGGGGAAAGATGGAACTTCATAAATATTGAGATAAATTAAAAATTTAAAAAAATAAATAAATCTCTGAATTTAAAATACAACATGGTGTATTACTATTTTTAAATCAAAACAATGTAGGAGTTGCACATTATATTCTGTTTATGTGGCAGTATAACCAATATTTTTTTCATTTGACAAAAAGAAAAAAAAAAACAGAGCTTAGTTGTCCTCTAGAATTTTAAGTTGACAAAAATGAAATTAAATATAAGCTAATACATAAAAATAGTCTAACTGCATGCATTGCAACCTCGTCGCATCTTTTTAAATAGTTCGAATAACATCATTTTATAGTTTTAAACAAAAAAAATATTTACGCTAAAATTTAATTGATTGAGCTTTATCAATTTGCACCAGCTAAAACATTTAGCAAATTAAATATAAATAGAGCATAATCCCAGACTTTTGAACATTTTTTTAAGAGTAAATATTCAAAATAAACATCAGTATACGAATTTAGCATAATTTTTAAAGAAACAAGCCTTTTTAACAATTCCAAACTTTTCTTGGATTATTTAAATAATATTTTTCTTTCAAAAAAATTAGCACATTTATAACATTTCATAACGTTACATACTATGTAGCCTTAATGGTCAATTTTAATGTCAAAGGAAATTTCAAAACAATAAAAAAATGAAGTTCGCCAAATTAACTGTAATAGATTTTTTCCTTTCCTACAGAATATTATCATTTAAAAATATTTATTTATTTTCTTCAAAAATTCAAAATAAATGAATCTTTTAAGCAACAAAATAATAGGCAATGGCAGAGAGACATCTATTTCTAAGCGAGTGGACGAAATTCAACACAATGACATACCACTCTTCTCATAGAACATCTATATATATATTTCTCTTACACGGCGACAAAAAAAGCCTCATCACAACTCCTCGAATGGCAATGCCAGAAAATCGACCAATGATTGCCGCTAAAAATGTCACATGCCAAATCTAGCTGAGATGGCTCAACATATAGCGCTTTTAAAAACGGAAACTGAAATAACCAGAGAGAGCATAAGCTAGGCAGAAGTGAGTAGCCTTTGTCGATAGATCTCTATTTTAGTATTTTGTCGAAAGCGCTTTTTTTCACGAATTTATATATTACGAATTTATTTAACGATTTTTGATTTATATCACGAATTTATTTGTTTTACTAGAATTTATTTGTTTATGCAGGTTTTTCCATTGCAATTCACTTATTTCAATTTTTAATAGACTTAATTATAGCCAAAATTTTAACCTTCTTAAAGAGATATCAGTTTTAGAAATTTTATCTTAAGATTTTATACTGTAGCACATTTCTAATAGGTTTAACGAATTACATGTCATTTATTTGAATTCAAATTTATTTTAATGACTTAGTATTTACTAAAAAGATGTAATTTTTTTTTTTAAAAGTTGTTATATGGATTTGAATGATTGTTTTGAATTCTTAGAATTTTGTGCATTTGCAATGTACCCAAGTTAGTAGAAAGCGAAGCGAGCTTGGTTTGCGAAGCAAACCGTATAAGATTGCGTAGCGATTTTCGAGGGTTGGCGACCGTTAGCGAGCAGGGGGCGCAGCGCACTAGTTGATTGAATTTCTACAACAAATAACTACGAGGGAAATGAAGGACACGCCTTCATGTAAAGATATTGAGAGAGTCGATTCGTAACCTTGAAGGTCACGGTCGAAAAAGAAACCGAAGGTTATTAGGGTGTCAATGGCGTAAAGAGGTGCCTGGATTCTCGAAATAAACTACTTGATTAGATGTCCCCCAAAAGACGATTGTAATTAATGCAGTAAATACAGTAGTCGGAAAAGAGAGAGAGAGAGAGAGAAAAAAAAAACTGGAGCATTTTTATGTAAATGTAGACCGTAGTTACCCTATAGCAGTGGTTTCCAACTGGCGACCCGGAGGCCGTATACGGCCCGCGAAGCCTTTTTTTGGGGCCCACGAACTAAAATATATAAGTTGTCATTTTTTTGCGGACAATTTTCGTAAAAAATCTATATGGGTTTAAAATTTTTTTCTCGTTAATAAAAACCTAATTTCTCCGTTTCTGTGAAATTTATCATACCAACGGTGCAAAAAAAATTNAAAAGTAAAAAAAAAAAAAAAAAATTATTCAAATACAAAAATAATCGTGTATGTTGCTCTTTTTTATTTCATTTTTTTTCTTTGTATTTCGTGAATATAATTCTCCGATTTAACTTTTTGAAACCACTCATTTTCGACGAAAATATTTACACTCACACATTTGTAAATTTTAAATTTAAAATGCAAATATCTATTCTCTGGTGGTTGCAGCAGACAAACCTCAATTTTGTCATTGAACACTTTGTGTGCTAGTATGTAAGTTTTAATACAAACCTTTTCAAAGTTTTACATTTTAACAATTAGATATCTGTTGCACATTAATTGTTTAATACATGGGTGCACATTAAAGTTATTGTAGCCCAAATTTTTTAATATGCAATTAAATATTTTTAAAAATCTACTTCTTATTTTAATTTGTAATTCAATACTTTTGTTTTGTATAACTTGGTAAAAATCTGACAGTAATATTTAATGTTCCTTCAAACATAAAAGAGCCCTACATAAAATTTTACTAAAGTTGCTGCCCGCCATTTGATTGGCGTTTTTAATTGTGGCCCCCGGCCTCATGTAAGTTGGAAACCCCTGCTCTATAGTGAGCAATTCACTATTTCAAAAATATATTCTGAATTTTTCATTAAATGTCTAAAATACATAAATTTAATGACCCCTAAAACTTTATTTCTAAACTTCATTATTAAATCACATTCATAAAATATTTTGCTTAACCCGAACATTCATTAGATAGTTTCCTAATAAAATAATAGCAATGTAATTAGTCTTAGAGTTCATAATCGACAACTTTATGTATTCTTTGGCTGAAAGTTAAGAATTGTTTCTCCTTTTTTCATGAAAAAGAAAAATATTTATATATTATTCTACTACCCTTCATCTTCTCCATACTATTGCACTACCCCTTCATGCTTCGTTATAAGTTCAGTATTTTAAAGTAGACGAAGTTAAAAAGGATAAAGATTGGGTGAAAAAATATAGTGTTTGATAGTATAGCTTGCATATAAAGAAGTATTTAAATATAGCTTGAATTCGCATACATTGCAGAATAATCATTTTCTTAGGAGTGAAAAAAAAGAAGGTATTTAATGATTTACTTTGGACACAAATTTTAACGAAACGAAATTTAAGTACTATTATTAATTTATGATTGGAATTAATATTTAAATTTAAGTTTATGGAGCGACATTTAGTTTTATTGGAACTAAATTTTATGACTTCTATTGCAGCTCCTTTATTTTTTAGACTATGAAAACACAGAAATTGAAACTTACCATGACGTTACAAAACATATACGTTACAAAACTTATCGTATGCTACTCACGTCCCGCAGTTAAATGATAGTTAAATTCAACTGCAGGGTTCCCATCAGATCACCGAAGTCAACAACAACATCACTGGCTGCCGTCAGTGTGCGGGTGGGTGACCGCTTGGATCAGTCTGCCTAGGGACCGAGGGTGTGCAGTATGGGTCCTCGTTAAACTGTTCTACCGTAAAGTGCTCGACTTCGCGTGCAGGTAGTCGGGGTACCGAAGCGGGGGTGCCATCCCCTCTGCAGAGGATCAAAATTGTGATGGCATGTCTTCGGATCATCCTCAGGGATGTTTCCCAGTTCGTCACCAATAGCCCATCGTATAGCTCTAGTGCGACGTAAATGAACTACAACAACCAACCTAATTTATTATTTGTATTTACAAATTATCATTTGAAGACCTATCATTTCAAGGCTTAAGAATACTCATTTGAAAAAAGAATCGTCATAAGGCACTTCTTATTTTGTTAACAATATACAGAATTTAAAACAAAATGATAATTTGTAAAATGAACTTAATCTCGCTGTTCGAAGAATATGCTAACACTAACGTACGATGGTGAACGGCTTGCCCCAAAAACATACAGTAATAAGCACGTAAAAAGAGGCCAAATCAGAACTGCCAAAAAAGTGAGTTCTTTCTAAATCTAGCAACCATATCACCTTTTTTAACAATATTTCTCCAAATAATTAAATAAAATTTTCACCGCAAACTCACCAGAATTACTAAATATCATTAATATTTTATGAAATATAGCAGATTTAAGCTCGAAAATTATAAAATTTATTATTTTTCATTAAAAACAAAGGTATCCATTTTAAAATATCGCTTCGCAGAATAAATGGTAGTAAGCAGCTGTATACTTTCTAACCGGAGGTAGAGCAGGTCAAGAGCTACAGATTGTTGTTGTTTTCTTTTATATTAAAAACACCATCCATACAACTGAAAAAAGGAAAGAGCAGGGGGGAGGGTCAAGGCATAGAACTGGTCGTCTCCCCATAAGGCGTATTCGAGCTTAGCGATCGCGAATTGTGGAAAAAACATTCTTTAAAAAAACTCAGTAATCAGGTCCTCCATTTTGAATTGCATGTAGTGAGAGCATTTACATTGCATGCTATTGCCCTAAACATGGTTTCCGTAGTGGACTGATCGTTAAAACGCGATTGTTAGTAGAACACTAAGGTCAAGCATCATTATCTGTGGTCAGTGACCACTTTGATAAGCCTGCAAAGGGGTTGAGACTGCGTGGTATCGTTCTATATTAAATTGTGTTGTTGTTGCTTCGAGTGCCACTTGCCAATACCGGCAAGCCTGCTTGGTGAAACCAAGTGAATTTAAGGCAGGGGATGCGTTTCTTGTTTCATAACTTGTAATCATTAATGTGAAATCGACGTCCACTAGACTCTGTGACAGAAATCTGAACGTCTAATTGGTGAATTATGTTATATGTGATAGATTTGACTAATTCCACCACTATCGCTTTTTCCAGCGTCTATTCTCACCCTTGAATTTCGGCAAGAACGATAAAAGAAAAGTAATAAATATTCATTTCTTATAATAAATAAAAATGAACCAGTATAACTTTTAACAGTGCAAATATTTGGAGGCTTGTAGAAATTGAAGTTGAATTAAGAGCCATTTACACTGAAATTGATTTACGTATCTCTGATCGTGGTCTTGAGAGATGGATAAACTGATTGACAGTAATGAACAGTGAGTTTATCGCGGAAGAATATATTTTGCTAATCAGATTCTCCTTCGATGCCGATAGGAAGTGTGTGAAATCGCTTGTAGCATGAACGGTCCTTAACTTAATAAAAGGAACATCCGCGAGGTGAAGCAGCGAATTTGGTAGCTTTCATCCCTAGTTCAGGTTGTTTCTTATCAGCAATCTAAATATCTACGTTGATCAGTGATACCAATACCATTAAAAAAAAGTCTAGAATAAAAAAATTTGGTAGCCGCTGACTTTGTTTCATTTTTCAGTTTTATGGATAAAGAAAAAGTTTAGGCGAAAATGGGTAATATTAAGTCGTAAAAAAAGTTCTGCTACACTTGCAAAAATTTCAACTTTCGTGAATTTTTATTGTGTCTTATTGTTTTCTGGTGTTCTTAATTTAAACTTACATCAATAAGCCCTAAATAACTGGATGAAACTAAACTTCTGGTTTTAATTCGTTAATGCTATAGACGAAATCTTTCTTCAAGGAATGCTGCAAGGGTGTCTCAGAACTTTTTTAACAACCTAATAATTGAATAAAAAATAGTCTGAAAATTTATTTATGTTTTATTATTTGTGACGCGAGATTGTTGAGTTCACAATGATTTTTGTTTGAATTATATTGTATTAGAGTTTTTTTTTTGGTTAATGGCGGGCACTTGGGTCTATTTCCCATTGGCCTCAGAAATGCCAGTATTGCTACTCTCTTATCGTTACCCAGTGAGCACTTACGGCTAAGCCACCGTTTATAAGGCGGGTTACATTCACACAGAAGAAAGGATATAGAACAGAGAAAGAGAGAGAGAGAGAGAGAGAAAGAAACATCCATGCCCTGAGCGGGATTCGAACCCGCAACCATCGGCTCCACAGTCAGGCGCACTAACCACTCGGCCACCTGGTCGGCGTCTATTAGAAATTTAGTAGTATGAATATTTTCGTTAGTAGTATGAATCATATCGCACTAGGGCTGCACAATAGGCTATTGGAGACGGTCTGGGAAACATCCCTAAAGATTATTCGAATACATGCCATCACAATTTTTGACCTCTGCAGAGGGGATTAGAAGTCGAGAATAAAAATTCATAAAATAGTTTTCATATGTACCCCAGTTAGAAAAATATCAGCGAAAACACACGACATGTGATATGAAATTATCAGCGAAAACATGACATTTTGGTGATCAAAATAGGCTACAGCTGGTGTAAAGTAGAACTCTCTACCGATGGCAACATTTCGAATGCTTTCATCGTTAGCGTGTGAGGAGAAGGAAGTACGTTAGTTTTTGTCTTGATTTTCAGATAGATTAAAAACGTTTAAGTTCGGAAACTATATGGAACTGAAAACTACATTGAACATAGTTTTAAAAAAAGTGTCGCGGAAATTTAAAAAAATATTTTTGACAGTTAAGTACGACAAATAATAAGAAAGGGGAAAATATCGTTGTATATTCCTATACAACAGAAAAGATGAGGAGAGGGAAAGGAGTAGGTCAAGATATGGAACCTATCTTCTCCCCCAGATGGCGTATTCGAGCGTTGCGTTCCGAATAATGTTCTTAAATGCATTTTTTGAGCGCCTCTTTTTGCAACCCCTGTTTTTTTATTATTTTGTTTTATGTATTTATTTTTTATTTCGTGTGTGTGTAACACTTAAATTCAAAGAAAAAATGCAGCAGTTTTTTTTTCAAAAAAACTTTTATTGTAACAAAAATGCAACATAAAAAAATGGCATGTTCCTTTCTCATTTGGAACAAGTAACATATTTGGCTGAAATAAATGGTTCCTTGTTAACAGGTATGGTCGTAGCAGTTATAGTAAGAACTGGTCTATCACATGGAGTACTCCGTTCGTAGCTGTGATATCTGAGAATGATACCGGAACAGAATTGACTGTCATAACACCTAAAATGAATGTAAAGAATGAAGATTTAAAGTAAAATAATTCTAAGAATCACAAATTATTTATTTTTCATTCTCCTTCCTTCCTCATTACTCTCACTCAGAATACTTACATCAAAACAAAGTTGTCAGTGTTAAAGGGTAATTCTATTCTAGCGTCCAAAAGAATAAGTATAATTAGGGAATATACTTCAAAAAGATAATAGAACATATTGAAATTCGGAAAAAGCACTTTTATTATAAAAGTAATGAATTGTAAAAATTCGTATTTTGAAAGCATTATAAAACAAGAGGGCGGTTTTGAAGCATTTATTCGATGGTGTCGTTCTCCTTAAAACAGTACTATCTCGCCCACATTTTTAGTTTAGAATGACAAACCAAATCTTTTTTCAACTATGTATGAAAATAGCTACAGAAAGACGTAGGTATGTTATTATTTGATTTACATTTATTTTTGCCGGAATATGTGATTTGTTTATGAGCTCTCTTGTCTTTTAGGTTTGTCTTTAAATTACCAGGCTATGGAGTTGAACATTGATAATCGTAAATCCGATTTGGTCGACTGTTCAGCACTGGTTATAAAACAAAATATGTCCTGTTGCGCTCAAATATTTAGGTAAAGTATTTAGAGAGAAGCACCGAACGTTGACTCATAACATCATTTTGTTACGGAGGAAGGAAAGGCTAGATGTGAGACTTCGCCAAATGTGGTAAGTAACTCCACTGACTTTCTCCCCAGCGACCCTATTTCTGGCAACTTTAAATCCTCTTGTTGAATTTGTCGTTAGTTTTGTAGGAACCCTAGAAGAAATCAACGGTACATATCAGCACTTTTAATTAAAAGATTTTACCTTCATTAAGAGAAATCTTCAGGGGCTGGTTGTTGTCACTCTTTTTCTCTAGATCTTCCTGAACTCCACTTGAGAAGTATGTTCCTCTCACCAGATGTCGCTTCAATAAATCTGGAAGGATAAACATTATGTAATAAACTCATGCACATATAATATGAACTTGATACATGATTTTAGAACCTTTGTAAAAATTTTGGGAAAAAATACACACATTAGAGATTTAAATTAATATTTAAGTGAGGAAAAAAAAACACTTCTGAATTCTGACCTATCTATTGAGGTCAACATAATTGAGGGGAAGGATTAAAATTACAGAAGGCAAGTTCATGTGTCTATAGAGAAACGCTTTCATCCTCAAATTAACTGCATTTCATTTGAATGTCATTTTGATCCATCCTTCACCTTTATTGATTTTTAAAGTGATTAATTTCATCATAGTATCCAGGGTGGTTAAAATTCAACTGGTGGTAATTAGAAATTTGTAACTCCCATTCTACAGGAAGGATTTGAATGAAAGTTTAAAAATTCTATGATAAGAGGTCATCAAATCTTCTACGATAAGAGGTCAAACATTGCTTTTTTTGTTGTTTAGATCATTGGTTTAAGTTGTCATAGATCTTCGTAAGTTCAAATAAAATAATAAATAAATAAAATAAAATAATAAATAAATAAAATAAAATAATAAATAAATANTTTGAAAGTTGTAATCACGATTACAAGTAATTGATTACTTGTAATCGTGATTACAAGTAATTGATTACATAGCTGTAATTATCTGTAATCAATTACAGTTGTAATCGATTACTGTAATCAACGGCCAACTCTGCTATCTAGACCACACTAGTAGAACTCCACGTTTTTTGGTTAGAATGACAAACCAAATCTTTTTCAATTATGTATGAAAATAGCTACAGAAAGACGTAGGTATGTTATTATTTGATTTACATTTATTTTTGCCGGAATATGTGATTTGTTTATGAGCTCTCTTGTCTTTTAGCTTTGTCTTGAAATTACCAGGCTATGGAGTTGAACATTGATAATCGTGAATCCAATTTGGTCGGCTGTTCAGCACTGGTTATAAAACAAAATTTGTCCTGTTGAGTTCAAATATTGAGGTAGAGTATTTAGAGAGAAGCACCGAACGTTGGCTCATAACATCATTTTGTTACGGGGGAAAGAAAGGCTAGATGTGAGACTTCGTCAAATGTGGTAACTAACTCCTCTAACTTTCTCCTCAGCAATCCTATTTCTGACAACTTTAAATCCTCTTGTTGAAACTGTCGTAAGTTTGTTTTGATATAGGAACCCTAGAAGAAATCAACGGTACATATCAGCTCTGTTAATTAAAAGATTTTACCTTCATTAAGAGAAATTTTCAGGGGCTGGTTGTTGTCACTCTTTTTCTCTAGATCTTCCTGAACCCCACTTGAGAAGTATGTTCCTCTCACCAGATGTCGCTTCAATAATTCTGGAAGGATAAACATTATATAATAAACTTATGCATATAGTACGACCTTGATACATGATTTTAGAACCCTTGTAAAAATGTTTGAAAAAAAAATGCACACATTAGAGATTGGAAATTAATATTTAAGTGAGGGGGCAGATATTGCCCATACTATGCAACATTTTTTGGTTAAAAACGGCCATTAGAGAAACATTTCTTCTTTTAATTACAACTTTCCTCGAATAAATAATTGATGAATTCATTTTATTTAGATTTTTTTTATAAAGAAAAGGATAAATAAATTATTGCGAAAAAAAAACAGTAATAATAAAATAAAAATGTAGTTATTGACTGCTGTGCAACGAATCTTAAGAACTGTAAAGATTTCCCCCCCTACTTATTAAGACAATTAGTATGCCATATCCTCTGATAGATTAATCAATTATTGATTTATCATTTAAATGATGAATATATAAATGAATAAATAAATGATTATTTCAACTTAAAGCTTATTAAATTGTATCAAATAATACATAAAAATATCACATGAAAAATTAAAAGAAAACTGATCAGTCGTCACACTAGCGGGAAATGCTAAATATCGTCCACTAGAGGTTTTAACCTCTCGTCCGAGACTGACACATATATATATATATATATATATCTTTATAAATTCTTGAATTTTCAAAAGTGAATTCAATTTAAAGTGTTCAACACCTATTTCAGTGCTAATTTTTTGAGTTATAGTTCTTGAAAGACAATTGTTTTAATTAATATAAAGAATGAAAAATGATATTTTAATGTTTGTTTTAATTTTGGGAGCGAGGATTCACACCGGCCAATACTTTGATAGTAGTTTATGAAGGACGGGAAAGGGTTTTGTGGCTTCTTTATAATAGACATAAATAATTTTATATTAAGGTTGGCAAGTTAAACTCCACGTAATTGGAATATTTTAATTTTCTCATCGTTATTACTCAAGCTACATGTGTCCTTCATTTCATAGCTACCTTTATAAAAATGAAGGTGGACTCATAGTGAACGCCATCAAATTTTAGTGTATGATTTTTAATGCTCATGTTCAAACGTTCAACTCGCCTGATTGGGAAACGCTCTCTGACGTAAGAAGTTGTGTCAAAAATTTTATTCACTAGTCGATTCTGAACTAGCACAGAGGTCGTAATACGTTGAGACGCTACAGTCAACGTTCACTGTGAACAAAACCTAAATGTTAAATGAAATGTTAATGATATGTGTGCCTGATGAAAAACGTAGCTGGAAAAAGCAAAAACATATAACTTTAACTTTTTTTCTACGAATTCAAATTTTCCATAATTTTTTTTAAAGTGTGGCAGCTGATTAATGAATACATTAAGCTGATTAATGAATACATTAATTAATTGATTAATGAATACATTTAATCATTTAGCTACAAATTTGGTTTAAAATTATAAAAGTATTCTATGATTTCCGGACTAGTTATAGATTTTCATATTAGTAATTTTTGTGAAGACAAATGTTTTATTTCCCCCCCATCCATAATGAAAGCTAAAAATGAAATAATTGTGTTATTTCTCTTTATCTTTCAAACGGTTTTTAAGTATTTTTTAAATGCGTGTTACTTCACACATTGTTATTTTTGGCTATAGATATACTAAACATTTATAACTATAGATAAACTTAACATACAGGCTATGGATATGCTTAATATTCATATATTTTTATACAAGCTATACTTAACATTCATATCTCAAACAGATATACTTAACATTCCCCTGCTGTTTTGCTGGTTTTCTTTTCTTAGTATTTCAGCACAATAATGAGTGAAAATTACCTGTGAATGCCTGTTTGTTGTCAATAAGGGATTTCCTTTCTTCTGGGCTCAGTGATTGGAAAGCTGTGTCACTCGGAGCGAAGAAAGTCAGAGGTCCTGTTCCTAAAAAAAATTAATAAAAACCATGTTTATTAGATAAAATTACATGAACAACTTTTAGACAGTTTTTTGTTAGTCGTCCTATGTCATAACACTATTCAGCAAATAACATGCTATTATAATAGCTGTTGCTCATGACTCTTAAGTTATATTCTGCCCATCGCGCTCTACGCTAATGGGATACATGAAAGTGATACTGATGCAATGTGGGTATATCGATCCTGATTAGTTGTTGAAACGTGGCATTTGTTTACGTTTGAAACTGTTCTTTCCATTCTATTTCGAGTAATTCAAGTATCAATTCCCTTGACATTTATATTCTTATACATTTAAGCATTCATTCAAACACTCAAACATTTTCACTCAAACATTCACAGTCAAACATTTCATATTCTTATGTAAAGATTCTTTCATAAAGATTTCAATTCCTTCATAATATATATTTCTTATTTAACACAAAGACAGGTATGAAACCATGTAGACAAACTAATTATACATGGAAGTTGACAGGTACACAGAGCAAAAATATACCACTGTTACAATAAAATACAGAAACAAATAATAAATCTACGTTAAGTAAAAAACGTAGACAAGAAACGTCAACTTTAACACGCCATTTTGCTTATAAACGATCAGTTGGAGCTAATGTCATAGGTCACATAGTGATCTTTTTGAAGTGCAAGTACCCAATTGTAAAAATCGCACAAATTGTCAATATGTAGTTGTTGTAGTTAATTTACGTCGCCCTACAGCTGCTCTATGGGCTATTGGCAACGGTCTGGGAAACATCCCTGGAGATGATCCCAAGACATGCCCTCACAATTTTGATCTTCTGCGAGGGGATTCTTACTTCCTCAATTAAGACGTAGATCTGAAGGGGAAGAAAATTTTCTATAGATCCCTGTACCTATAGTACTGCTCGACCACAGGACTTTCAATTCCACAGATTTTAAGAGATCGTATAGTAGAAACATAGTACATATTTATAAAATTATAGCATTTTTCGCGTTTAAGGCAGTGAAGTTTTTTTAAAAATATTTCTCTCGGAGAAATAGCTTAGAAAAACACCTTTAAGCCTTGTACCCCTTTTCATTTTGGTAGAAGTAAGGCCAGTTTCTTTAGTTCTATTTTTTGAGAGCCGTTCCCACAGCATGAATTTCATGCAATTCCGTTTAGAAAGAAGGAAAACCTGATAGATAAAATATATTTTTCCGGAAAAAACTGATAATTCAACTTCCAGTTCTCGTTCTGTGGTAATTGGAGGTGCATGAATTGCATGTAGTGTGAACGCTCCTTAAAGGGAATAAAGCATTACTAAAGGGTTTAACTCATTGCAAATTTTCCACTGAAACTGCGTTTACAGTTAAGTAGGTAAATTTATATATTTAATAAGTCATTTCAATGCCGTGTTTATTCCAGGCATTATTTCAATAATATTGTTTGTTCAATCACCTGAGAGCATCCATGTGACTTGGGAGGTACGCATGGCCTGAGCGAGATTCTGCAGAATAGGTGAAGCCTCAATAATATTCAAGAGGTTGCCCGTGGGCTGGTAGAGCACTTGCGTCACTGGAATGAGTTGAATGGAGCCCATTGTGGCCAGTGCATCCCCAACTGGAGTACCTGAGGCCGTCACCACCTACAATAAAACATTTAATTAATATTCACTTCGAAGTATTCCTTTTCTAAAAGCACTTATCAGTGTTAGACTACGCGAAATATTTTCATAAGTAGAATAAAAAACCGTCATAACGACATTTCATAAATTGTCCTCGTTACAGATAGAGTGCTTATCATTATAAGCAAATATGTATATTTAATGTTAAAATCGCAACAAAAAGATTAAAAAAGGGAAAAATATATGTTTTATTTTGAGTAACTATTTCGATTTATAATTAGAGTAAACTGTTTTTGTCTGTAGATTGCAAATTGAATTACGTGGCTGGCTGAATTACGTTGCTTTATGAAAGGCAGAAATGTCTTCGATAAGAATTTTTGAACAACAAGTTTTCAAAGTTTTGCAAGATTTTGTTAGAAGAAAATGAAATGAAGTGCAAAACTTTTTGATATCATTGCTAAAAGTGAATGCGTATGTCGTATGATTATGCGGCATGTAAAAGATCCCTGGAGTGCCTCATTGGCTCTTGGCATTTCCGGCAAAATTAAATTCCTAGTGCACTTTGGCATCCAAATAGAGTCTCGGTGCTGCCATCTAGTGTGGCAGAAACTAGACGTCCAAATTAGCATGACCAACGGTATCTAACCTATTGTGGTGGTCCTGAAAGAGTGGATACCACCTCTGGAGAACGCACTAGGTCTGCTCATCGGCAAGACCGATTGTGCAGCTCATTGGAAATAAAAAAATAAAAAATTGTAAGTTGCCAAGAAGGAAAATATGGTGAAATGATAGACAAGTCGTCAATAAAGGAGCATTCTTTTCAAATTTGCAGCGGAATTTATAAAAATAGCGGTTTTTTTTTGTTAGAAAGAAAATAACTTAGTCGGTGATCGCTCTCACATTACTTTATAAAATTTAGTTAAAATTGTGAGAAGGAAATGTTTCCGATTTTTTTTTGTATTTTTATCCTGTTTTCAGAGATAAATAAAAACGTCTGCCCTTTATACATTTTTCATATAATATTAATGAAATTCGGGAAGTGTGATTCGAATAATCATGTCAAGACAAAATTTTAGACCTTTTAGTGTTAATTTGCCTTTGTGTATTTCAGTACTTTTTAAGCGAATCGAAAAATTTCTGCACGCAGTTATAAAATGTGTTTACCCAAACATAATTTTATGCAAAAAATAAGTTTTAATAAGTATTTATTATTTTCTATTATTTTATGAAAAACTAGAATTGTAAGGCACACAAATTTTTACATTATTTTAAAGAACGCAACTTTATATAGCAAAATACAAAATTGAATATTATCTATAATCGGTCGGAAAATTCCTGAGAAATCGAATTTTAGATATATTGATTTTTTTTCTCTAAATTTATGTATTGCGGGCTAATTAGTAAATTTAATGTTAGACTCTCAAACGATTAAGATTGAATCCCCGAAGATCTGATCACCCCTAATAGGTGAAAGTCCGGTCACTGGATCAAAAAATATTCGAGGTTTTTCCTTTCCCCCTTATTTAAACTACTTAAACTACATCATTGAACCTGAGTCCTCGTAGAAGAGTTTCATACTTGTTTGCAGTTGATGTGAGCTCCCTGATAGACATTGAAGCGAATCTTCTGCCCCTGAAGCAAGGTGGACGAGGTTTCTTCATTTCTCAAAGAATTCAGATTCACCCTCTGTGGTATGATGTGATATTGCAGAAGGGATTTTGTCTGCTCTGGACTCGAGTCTATGGAATTCGACATGTCCTGTGGAAGCGCATTAACGGCGTCGTCTGTTGGGGCAAACACAGTGTATACACCTGAAAACAAATTAATACTATATATATCGTGCCTTTGTGAAATTTCGGAATAGTATAATGGAATGTATTGCCCCAAGACCTTCATAAAAAGAAGAAAAAATATTTCAACTTTTACCGAGTACAAATGGATATTCATGTTTACCAGTAGAATCATATGAAAAATCTATCCTGCATGACATAAGTTAGTCAGTTAATAATTAAAGCTATTCAACGGTTAACAGATTAAACTCAAAGTTATCGGAAGTACAATAGCAAAAACTGTTTATCTTAGTTTCGGTTATGTTATTTATCCAAGTTTTTGAAGTTTTATTAAAAGATACATTTTTACCGTTTTTGAAGCTATTCAAAAATTAAAATTTTACTAAATTTTGCAAAAAATGTAAACGATTTTGTACTGTTTATATGCATTAAAAATTGAAATTCTAAAATTATATTTACATCGAGCAATGTCTTGCCGAAAAATGATCCAATATTTTACTGTTTCTTTAATCTTAACGCTCCTGAAGCTTTCAGAAAGGAATACTCGTCTCAACTATCTACATACCTGCCAACTTTTAATCCCTTCCATTATCATTTTTCCCAGTGGTATTAAAATGGAATTAAAACTTCAATTTTAAGCAAACAAATACGTTGGATTTGAGAAAACTTAAGTTAACAACCATGATAGTAACGTATATTATATATTTTAAATG